CCCGACCGGGGAAGAACCATGCCCTCACAGAATACTAGCGTAAAATAGCAGCTGAATGCCGCAGTGTCGTATGGTGAGTGTAGAGAACCGGATACCCTTTTTACAGGTAACGGGGTACTCTATCTTCATCCTTACGGGTGACAATGCATCTGCATTTTGATTCGTAATCGTCCGACAGTAATAATGATATAAGACTCTTATTAATTTACCTTCTATTTAGTTTTGTAAATTAGTGCTAACATTTGTGTTCATTTGGTTATTTATATAAATGATAAAAAGGAAGGGGTACTCCCCTTGAGACTATATAATTAGAGAGTTATTTAGGATGTAGGTGTCTATGGGCCACAGCAATCACTTACCGTCAGGTGGACTGTGTGCTCAATTGTCACCCTTATACAAAAAAATACACATTTCAAAGCAAAACGAAACAGTCGGATTTGTTCACTTTAACTTGATTATAAAGTTTACGAATCCTTAGAAAGCCTTGCCCTAGCAACAATATTGTTAGACATATAAAATTAGTTTCTACGCACTACCTGCAGATTAAATTTAATCTGGAGGTAGCCGTGGTTAATTATGACATTGGTACGTCGATAACCTTTGTTCCCTCTGTGACCACGGGTGCTGTAAAGTGCTCGAAACGTCGGGAATATAAAATTAGTTAACATACGCGATAAAATTCGTAAACACTAGTTTTATTTAAATGTGTAGTGTTCGCGTAAATATAAGAAATCATTATTGTTAAACACATCTATTTGTACGAACTTAATTCTTTTTCAAGCGGTTCCTATCAAGCATAATATGCTCATGACTGCACCCTGTGTCAGTCATAGGTGTCTCCAAGGCGAATACGGATTATGCATTTTGTGAGTTAGTACTAATACCACATCTATCTTTTATATCTAGAGTTAAATCACTACTTAAAAACATACACCAATATCTAATTTTACCATAAGTAAAAAGATAGGAGTACAAAACTAATCGGTTGATTATTTTTCTAATCTTGGCTCTGGCTGAAAATCCAATCCGTGCTGGCTCCGGCTGAAGTTCTAACCGACAGGTAGCTTGGCGCTTTGACGATCACTTTCTTTAGTCTCACATTAAACGAATTCATAGTTCACCAGCCAAAACAAGCCAAAACAGAGAAAGCTGATTGGTGGATTGAACTCTTTAAACCAGAACAATCTCTATTTAGTTGTGGCATAGTGGCAGGAAGTTGTTGCTGCTGAGCTAAGGGTTTAGTGCCAACCAAAGTAACAATTCTGGGCAGATAAACACTATCCACCGCGACACCACCTAGTAAAACCACAAGTCTGGACAGTTGTTAGTGATCATAAAACATAAATTTAAAACTATGGTACTTTCCTTTAATAAAATCTCTATTCCATCATCATCTGTAGAATTAAAGTCCACCGCTGGGTACAGCACCTTTACTATAAAAGAAAGGATTTGCCGTAATTGCACTCGCCAGACGTATTGGTGATCGCAGTGCCAGACGATTTGCAATGTTACTCTGCATCCTGTCGCGGGTCAAGGTATTTCACATTAGGTCATTAATATGAGATTGCTAAAGGTCCTATATAGGTAAATTTGAACCTATTGTAGTTAGAACCTAATGTATGGAACCTATTGTTATTAGAAGTTATAAATTTATACGAGAATTTTTCTCTCTTAAGACATCCACGTGACGTGGTGGTGATGGTTGGGGAAGGTTGATGGATTCATACGCTGTCACCATACACCACGGAATTCGAGTCAACTTGCTATATATTGTATGTGGTTATGAAATATTTTTAACGGCCTTCATACACTACGTAATGGAATTTACAAGGGTCGTATTTGGATAATTTATGCGGTAACGCAACGGCTTTTGAATCACGCGGCCTCAACTCCCGGAGTGTGTTTGTGTACGCCTTGGCCAACTTTATCCTGAACGCGCGAACAGACGTCATCGAACGCTACATGAGTCAAAAGAAAGCCTTTAGTTTACTTTTTACTACCGGTTTTCGTAATTCGAACAGATATTTTTTTCGTCTTTTTTACCCTGGAACGCAATAATTTTTAAGTATTAAAATGTTAATAATATAGGCAATAAATTATTTACAACTTAATAACACTGAAATATTTAACTTTTATTGTCTGCGAAGAACTCGCCGTCTAGCCTAATTATTATTGTATTTGTGGCGAAGCGATCGCCGCGACACAAGCTTATACATCATAATTATATACGAAGTCCAAATCACGCTATAAAAGCTTCCGTACAACTTCGCACATAGTATCTAGAAAAACTCTCGACGGGAGATCAGTTTTCTAGTCTTTTTGTACTTATTTCTTTTTCATTTTTTTTTCACGGTACTCTCACAGATTGTACGCAATAATTTTGAATTAAACCAGATTATGGGAACAATTAAAACTATTGTAATGGATATAAAGTAGCAAAAAATCCTAAATTCAACTATCTATCTATGTTTCTTATGTTTTCTTGACTAAATTAGAGAATAAGATGCCTATTTGCTAATAAGTACACGTGGTAGAGCCACGCAATAGCTATTTTATGGCTGCAACACGAATGGGTTGGCGAGACCGGGAAAGGACCACGCTCTCACAGAATACCAGTGGGTTTAGAGAACCTGAGACCCTTTTTACTGAAACTGGAGTATACCATCTTAGTCTTCAAGGGTGATGACGCATCTGCATTTTGATTCTCAATCAAAGACACATGTAGATGTCAATGGGCATTAGCATTCACTAACCATCTGATGGACTCTGTGTTCGTTTGTGGCCTTAATTCTATAAAATAAAAAATTAAAAATGTTGATGTAGCCCTAGATAGAAAATTGCAATGTCTTATTTTAACACGTTCCCAGCGGCACTGATTTATCTGTACTTTCCATTACTTCGTTACGAGACGTTTGAAACCTCGTTCTGAACCAGAGGTTGTAGCGGCACGAGGCTTATTAAACCCCACCGCCCACAGAAGACAAAAATCCTTTTTTTGGCACCAAATAAGGCGAATTGTACGTTTTTTGTCGCGATTATTATTATCAATTAGTTGATTAACCTAAATCTGCCGCCGCCCGTGGGCGGATTATTTAGTTTAGATTCTATATGCAAAATAAAATGTGGGGTCTTATGTACCCCATACCGCACTGAAAAAGGGCAGTTTTTCATATTGTTTAGTGATGGGAAAAAAAATCTATTTTATTTAATTGTACTTTAATTATACTTTATTATACTTTAATTGTACAATAATATTTTTTGCAACCGATACAATCTATGAGAATTTTCTTTGCTTTTTTGTCAGCCTCACGACTTGATAAGAAGGTGCGAAGTTTTTCGTAGCATCCTACACATCATCATAAACATTTTCTTTGATCCTTTTTCGAGATGATATGGATTGTTTGGACGGGTTCTGAAAAAAAAACTGATAGTGTATTTTTGAAGCGGGTTGATTAGGTGTAGCGATTTATTGGAGCATTTCTATACATAAGTATGGGATCGTTACGGCCTGTGTGTGTTTTGCTTTTGTCAGTTGAATTTATTTGTTATATTCCTACATAATTATTTCACTTAGACTGAGTATAATTTGTAAATATTTATTGGAAACCTACCTGTTTTTCAAATATCGTTAATTTAGAATTAGATTTACCACCCAATTCCTCTTCATCATCAATAATATTATTAATTAACTTTCTTCGGCAACGTTTCGACATCTTATTATATCGTCGCGGGTGCAGCGTTCAACGTTTTGCACAACACTAACCGCGTAAAGCTAGCGTAGGGTGCGGTACGAGGTGTGTGGGGTACGAGGTGTTCGCAACCTCGTAACGCACTGTTTTAAACTTTAATTTATTCAGTGCGGTACGAGGCCCAAAAAATCCGGTATTAAGGTAGATATACCAAAAAACTCGCCATCAATAGCACATCAAGCAAACGGAAGTTACGCCTCTCGCACGACAGAGAAGTTTAAGTTTTTCCTTACCGCTATAACGACGAGACACGGACGAGGTGTTTCAAGCCTCGTTTCGCAGTGAACGTGTTAAGAAAAGTTTACTCTCGCTCGCTTTGAGGATTACATAATAAATAGATGGAATAACAGATCCCGGCAAATTATTCCATTTTATTACTGTACTCAATATGAACGATGAAGCAACCTGTATAGTTTGGTAACGTTTGGTAACAAACGAGGGAAAGGGAAAGAACAAAGCCATGTTATACATATGTCATTCAAAATCTGTCCTCTATTTATCACCATTATCATCATTACAGCTGTCCGAAATTACAGCAAGTTCCAAAGCCACCTTCATTCGTCGACTCCCAATCTCAGGTCAGGTCCTCTCTTGACTATTTAGGTTACCTACTGCTCTTAGTACAAGTTTGCTGCCCGCGAATCGTTCTTCTAACTGGAATGATGATTGGCAAATTATTCACAATAATAATCTCTTTTTCGTTACTCTGAATATATAGAGTACCTACCCTTAACCGACGAGCATGTATGCGAAGGTATATGGATATATATATATATATATATATATATATATATATATATATATATATATTTCGTTACTTATGACTTTTATTTTTTTACTACTACTTATTATTTTATTAATAAAAGTATTTCTTTTTGTGTAAGGTTAATCGTTGAAGTATAAATGGTGACTTTACATCGAATACGCTTAGTAGCGTTCCCGTTTCGCCACAAGCGAAGAAAGGCTCGGAAGCGCGCTTTCGATGATTACGGGGAGAAATCTCAGACCGGTTGCGGTTCTGTCGAGTCTGGTCTGTCAGTATTATTCGGCGCGCTGGCTTCGCACCACGTGTGGATTTTTAAATAACTCATAAATACGTATAATTGTTTTAAAAGTTTCTTACAATTAACTTTGGAATTTCGGCTAGTGTTTTATTGACGCGTGTTCAATTTGTGCATTAAATTGAAAGCCGTTTCATTTTTATTCTGTTAAATTTTGTTAAAAAGTGAACTTGAAGTGTTTTTCTGCCAGCCATCGGTATGTTATTAAGCGATATAATACATTAATGTTGGTACAAAATAGCTAAATATAAGGCCCAACGCATCGTGTCGTCTCCATTCTACCGCTTCGTAGAAAGGTTTTCTCTCGGTTTACATTTCACCTAGTTTCGTGCGTTGATGACTCTACAACGCTCTCCATTAGAATCTATCTGTTTTGAATTCGTTTCACTAGCACACGGTGAATTATGTTAATTAAAATTTATTACTGATCAAATGAATTTCTAAAAAATATGCTAATCACTTTAATGTTGTAACACAGTAAGTTTACCAATAAAAACATATAGGCATAAGGAAATCTACATTTCTCTATAATGACAACGGTATGTGATGTCTAAAAACTAAAAATATCTTTATGAAATATAAATGAATCAGAAATTAAATTCGAGAATATAAAAAACTTTTAATTTAAATTTTATTCTTAATTTTAATCAAATTTATGTCTCTTATAATAGACTTCAACGACAGTGAAGTGACAATGATTTTACTAGATAACTAGGGGCTCGCCCCGACTTCGTTAGAAGAGGAACTGTTAAAATTGCGTTATTTTTATTTAAGATAAACACTATTTCTTTTACCAGTTATAGCTTTTTTTTTTTTAAAAAAAAGCTTCAAGTTTTTCGGCTAAGCCTAGATCCCTCCTGGCCATTGCTCTATGTATGATTGTAATGTTTCATCGCAATCAGTTTAGCCATTTCGAAGATTAGCCTGGATAGACAGACAAAAATGTTAAAAATGGTTATTTAAGCCCGGACTCCTGACTTCTGAGCGTCATAGACGACAGTTATTTTAATATTACTAACTGACACTTGAAATTTATTTATATGTAGGTATAGATGATGCTCAGAAATGAGAATATCCGCAGTAGAACCACAGTGACCGACATAGTCCAACGGATTAGTAAGCTGAAGTGGCAACGGGCCGGCCATATAGCTCGAAGAAACGACAACCGTTGGGGAAAAAAGGTTCTGAGTGGCAGCCTCGTACTGTTAGGCGAAGTGTTGGGAGACCCCCCACTAGACGGAGTGACGACCTGGTAAGACATGTTGGAAGTCGATGGATGCAGGTGGCACAGGACCGTGCTTTGTGGCATACCTTGGGGGAGGCCTATGTTCAGCAGTGGACTTGTGAAGGGCTATAATGATGATGATGATGATAGATGATGCTAAAAAATTTCCTTCAAAAATTATGGTTAAATTTAAGGGATATTATTAAAAAGAAACAATTTCTTAAAATATTATATAACATTCAATAACGTAGCCTGACTATAAAAAATGTAAGAACATACATTAAGGCCGGTTTACATTTTGAGAAGTGACAAGTGCGAGTGACAATGACAAGTGACAAATGACAAGTGCTTAGTGCGTGTGAACAGGCAGTGACAAGTGCGAGTGACAAGTGACAAGTGCGAAATGAAAAGTAACAAGTGAATAGCGGCCTGCTCTATTCTCTGACAAGTATCTCTGCCCCGCGCTAACCTTGCTTTCCCCTCAGTCTCCCACCGCCGCCCCAGTTCTAGCGGCGAACGTCAGAACATACACGTGTTGGTTATTAAATAAAATATTTTTGTTACACATAGTTATTAAATAAAATATTTTTGTTATATATATTGTATACATACTCGTATTTATAATAATTTTGTTTTATTACGAAGTGGTCAGATAGCAATAACATTAAATTTGTCAAGGAATTATTGAAACACGAATGTTTATACAATATTAAATCGCTGAATTTAAAAAAATAAAATGATGCGAGACACTGCTATGCCCTCAATATCTCAAGCAATGGGAATGGCCGGTTTCGGCGCAAAAAAAGTAGGTATACGTGAAGTTAAGAAGCATTAAGTCTACATATTACCAAGAAAAGAAGAAAATTAAAGACTCCTTTAGGTCAGGGGCTGGAGCCATATTATATTCAGGCTTAAATTTTTTCCTTGTAATATCTTTAAGACACATTTTTCTTACTTAAGCGTTTCTAGAAAATTGGTGTGCACCAATATCTTTGCAATAAGGCACTTCACACATCTTTTTAATCAAAAAAAGGTAAAATTGTATGATGAGATACCACTTTTAAACTTTAAAGCTGTGCTAGCGCCTCTTTGACAATTACCTACCCAACTTCACACTCGAAGATTTCACATAATAATGACATCCAATTGCCACATGTGTGAACACCAACTTGCTACTTGTCACTTGTCATTTGTCACTTGTTATTGCCGCTCGCACTTGTCACTTCTCAAAATGTAAACCGGGCTTTAGAACGGTAGGTGCTGTTAGGAAGTGTTAGAGTACTTAATTATATAATATGAATAACTGTTTGGTAGACAGTTAAGAGAGAGCTGTTAATAACTTAGTTCTATTTAAAGTAAAACAGGCAAGAGTGAACGGGATTTTCGTAAGCAAAGCTAGTACAGAGCACTTTAGCATCTTCAGGTTATAATAGTTAAAAAATAAACAGTTATCTATAGTTTTGTCTATGGCTTCTCTTGATATTTTAAACATTATTTTGAAAGTGTTGATTAGGAAAGAACTCAGTGCTGTTTCAGTATTCGATGGCAAGAGGTATATTTTGTGCACCGCGTATATATATTGGCTCTGCGTATATCTAAGTAAAGTATTCGCCTTAAATTTTGCTGTAGGCAATTCTGGTTCGATCTCTGCCGGCACTAATGAAATTGTTAATTATTACAATTAATATAAGTCCTGATATACAACCTGCTCGGTGGTGAAAGAAACATCGTGAGGAAACGTGCATGTCCGGGAAGTAATATGTACATACATGTAAATTCGAACAACACACACTGAAGCAGTACGACGGACTTATTCCTCCATAATTACCTCAAAAATTAGGGATCTCTTGATAACAGACGTTAGTATTGAGATTAAACATATTTTCTGTGCATAGGAAAACTTAGAAGATGCTTTGGGAATATTTTGTGACTTTTTCTTTTTTTCGACTTTTTTTTTTACTTTTTCGACTATGTAGGTACTATGAGGTAGAATATAGCGGTTAAAAAGATTATCTCATATTTGAATAAGAGAACACAAGTAGTCGTTATCAGGGAAGTAGTTCATTAGGGTTGGTAGTATCTATGGGTGTTCCTTAGATCTCATTTCCTCACCTCTCCCTGTTCATAGTTTATATACTTACCTTACCTTGCTTGAAAGTATATAACCATGATATAGTTTTATGTGTTGATTTTAAAATTAAAGCGACCATTGTTACAACAGTGAACAATTTGATTTTGAACGTTAGTAAAATGAAATGTACCTACTAAATTCACAACACCTAGTGTTAATTAAACACGTAAATATCAGCGTGCTTTTGAATGTGTAGGAGCTGAGTCTTGTTGAACTCTTTCTCTCGGAATTAAAGTTGACGTGAAGCTTAAAATGGGAATGCTAATGTTTCTAAAGTAGCTAGCAAAGTTAGTTTTGTAACATATGCTGTACAAAGATTAGATTACTCATTTGTGTTGAAAGAGAGTGACCATTGAAGTACTGTAGAGAAGAAATCTATTATTTAATAGAATTTGTTAACTTTGGCCTCTTGGTATATTTACGAAAATTTAATGTGTTACAAAAAACCGAAATAGTTTTATAAAAATAGTGATGTACATTCTATAAACAATCATTTTATACGTGGTAGAGCCATGCTGCACTTATATTAGTAGTATAGTTGTAGCACGAATGGGTCGGCTCGACCGGGGAAGGACCACGCTCTCACAGAATACCAGCGTGAAATAGTAGCTTAATGCTGCTGTATTTCGTATGGTGAGTGTAGAGAACCGGAGACCCTTTTTACTGGAAATGAGGCGTTCCATCTCAGTCCTCACGGGTGACAACGCATCTGCATTTTGATTTGTAATGGAAGATAGATGTAGATGTCTATGGGCCGCAGCAACCACTTACCATCAGGTGGACTGTGTGCTCGTTTGTCACCCTATCCTATAAAAAAAAAATAAAAAAATAAACACTAGTAACAAGCACATACTAGTTATACATGTAGCTCTACTTTAAAGAGACAGTAATCCTTTCATGGGAATGCTTTTACAACAATGTCCCAGGAAATATGTAAGACCTATCAGTCAAAAACTAAAATTTTACTATGAAAAAGTTGTTTAAAAAGAATTACTCTTTTTTATTTTATTAAAACGTATACAATTGTTAATGTTATATTTAATTGTAAACATTATAATGTTATAAATTTTTATTTGAAAACAGTCCTGCTGGGTTACTTCCTGATTCTTCCTGGGTTTTTATCGAAACCAGTGGTAAAAGCACACACAATTTTCTATTAGTATTTTTGTAATGTATATTGAATAAAAATAATTCCAATATATTCAATAATTCCATTTTTAATTATTTTTTAAATTTACGTCGAAATGTATTTGAATTTTACTTTTTAAAATTCTCATTTATTTAAATAAAATTTACTATCCAAAAATATCTTATTTGTAATAATTTTAATAACCAAAAAAATGTGAATAAATGTTTTACCGTGTCAAAATTATGACAAATGGAAAATGAATATCCGGCAATGGTTATTCATCGATTTCCATGAGATAAAGTTGCAATACAAATAATGGTAAACAAGCACTTCAACCAACTGATGTTAAGTAGATTTGGCACATAAACTGCTTCATTTGTTCTCAATAAAGAACCAAAATGAAGATGCGTTCCTTTAAGGACTAACATAGATGTTACTTGTAACCGGTTGTCTCGCTATACGAAACATATAATATGAGCTATGTTTCTCTAGCGTGGTTTTTTTCCGGTCGGAAGTAGTGACGACCCATTCATGCTGCAACCAAAATATAGCCACAGTACACAATTATGTAAATTATTTTTAGTTCAACGAATTTCTCTTTTGAAAGTAAAAGAATATTTAAAGTTTAAATTGAAAATAAATTTATTTTTAATAACCGTTTACTATTTTGCTTTGAAATTGAAATTGACCGGTACAATCTGGAAATGTATT